CATTGTTTCAGGTTAGTTGTACAGTAGTTTAATATATTCTGTGTGTCCTGACATCGTTTCAGGTTAGTTGTACAGTAGTTTAATATATTCTGTGTGTCCTGACATGTTTCAGGTTAGTTGTACAGTAGGTACAGTAGTTTAATATATTCTGTGTGTCCTGACATCGTTTCAGGTTAGTTGTACAGTAGTTTAATATATTCTGGAAGTATTTAATAAGTTGATGCTTGTGATCAAACAAATGTTTGTTTCTTTAGTAGCGAGCTTATGAATTTAAATTGCCTGTGTGTGGTGTTAATAGTATTCAGTATTTATTGTGTATCTTCCAAACTTGATATTTAATATTTTGTTTCTTCAGTCTAGACAAATCATTAAACAGCTAGGTCTAAAACTGACCGACTTAGAGGAGTATCCAGAGGTAAGTGAAAACAGCCTTTTATAACTTTTTGTGGTGAATTTAACATGGATATAATGTAATTTTTGAAACTTGAAACATTGTAGTGCGAAAGTTCTCTCCTTTTCTGATTAGCAGGTTTTGATACTATTTAATCTTGCCTTGACTTTTTTGAATGAATAAAACTGATTAGCATTTAGCATGTAAGATTATCTATGTACTAACCCAGCAGTAGGCTATTGGTCAGTTCATATTGACTTTATCTTCCGCTAGATTGATGTTGCTATTGACGGAGCTGATGAAGTGGACCACAATCTAACCCTTATCAAAGGAGGAGGTGGTTGTCTTACTCAAGAGAAAATTGTTGCATCTTGTGCTCAAGATTTTGTTATCATAGCTGATCATCGGTATAGTTTTCTTCCACTCTTTTAAACGTGTGGTATTTGACAATGAGTTTCTTTCATAATAATTCTGTAAAAGTATTAGTACTATCGTCAAAAATCGTCACATCATCCAACAATTGGAATATCGGTTTCAGTATAAGATAGCCAAACTGTATGAGAAGGTCTTTTAATTGCGAGAGACGTAGATAATTAATATGTAAATATAAAAAAATAAGAGAGTAACAAATAATGTCACTAGAAGAGAAAAAGACAAACAGTGTTTTGTTTTAGTTCATGATAACTTGTGTAGAGAAATATTTGAGTAAAAATATGTATATAGGCTTAGCTTACGTGAACAATCATATTCAGCTAGCTGTAGTGTGAAGAATTTAGGCTTACGTGAACAATCATATTCAGCTAGCTGTAGTGTGAAGAATTTAGGCTTACGTGAACAATCATATTCAGCTTGAGTAAAAATATGTATATAGGCTTACGTGAACAATCATATTCAGTTAGCTGTAGTGTGAAGAATTTAGGCTTACGTGAACAATCATATTCAGCTAGCTGTAGTGTGAACAATTTGAAATAAGAATTGTCATAAATAACACGATGGGGGTGTTCTTGGTGAGCATTTTGTTAGATTAGTATTTTTAGTTTGGTTTGTAATTTTTTATAAAATGCCCTACAAATATTGTTTCCATTTATAATACAACAGTATATCCTGATTCTACCTGTCATTAGTGGCTGAGGTAGTAAACC